CATATGGAGTCGAAATAGATTTGGCTGGAGTTTTTTTGCAGACGAGTTGAAGAAAAATCTTTTTTGCAAGTTACTTATTAGCATAAGGACATGACTAATTCGAAAATATCTCTGCTCAGGTCTTTCCCCTTACCGAGATAGGCGGCATTATCCGTAAAATAACTACCTTTCCTGCCGGCTACTTATAATTTGGTCAATAACAATATATGTAACTTCATCCAGATATAATTATTTTACTTTTTAATCTATGATATCTATAGAAAGATACTATATGTATATATTCAAGTGTCTCTTTACAAGTTTGAATTTGATTCTAGATGAATAATTTATTCAATGTGTATGATATAGTAGTCTGTTAAAGCAAACATTGAATTTATAATTAGTAAACATGCAATGAAACATCTTATTTCTATTCTAGACTATCATAATAAATAGTAGGCGTTAAAATAATTACTATATGTTCAATAGGGATATTAGGTCAGTTCAAGCTCTAGCTAAGTGAGTATGTATAAGTTTCGATGCAACATTCGACAGCTAGAATAAAGTCAACTATCTACATTTAGAGAAAATAATACAGTATATAATAAATATTGTGTTCGTACAAGTTATGTCATATAAAGTAAGTTGAAAGTATCTCCTTTTAATCAACTGATACTACACGGCATAATGACATGAAACAATGATTCTACCATTTAATGCTCTAGAAGATTTATGTGTATAATCAGCAATGGTAGAACTTGAAACAAAGGATTAATCAAGAGTGATGAATCTACACATGAGAATGTACTCGCAACTAATATTGCTTTTTCAATGAAACTGTACGTTTCGTTCTAACATTAAATATTAATTCATAAGGACCCATTGTTTGTGTATATTCGGCTTTATCAACCATATTATCCAAGGTATTAAAATATTCTTTATCCATATCATTAAAAGCAGCAAGATTTCACATCGTAACGTAAAAGTTCTACAAAAAATGAACTACAGAGAAATTAAAAAATCGGCCTCTGTTAAGTTGTAGCCCTACATCTTGGCTACATTTTAAAACCAATCCGAGCTCTCTAACGTTAAAAATGGCAGAGAAATCTGGGTCGGACGAAGACCCATTTTTGGACCTTAATTGTGAGCTAGCTCTTGATAGGTTTAATATTTCGAGCTGGAATTTTTAATGTGAGGTCATCATACTCAGATACACCATCTCTGAAAGTTTCATCAAGATCGGATGCTCGTAAGCAGAAATGGATTTTTGGGTGGGGGGTGGGCCTTAAGCTGATTGAATAGTTGATAAAACAACGTAAACGGACATATTTCTGTTTTCGTTCTATCAAGGTTAGTTGATTTGGTCCCAATTCATTGTATTCTTTTTAATGTTTAGTCACCTTAAGAATGCTGCCATCACTAATAAACCAGCGAATATGGGAACGGCTGTTCAAAGTGGACCATATACGAAAGCTCAATGTATGTATTTTTTTTGTATAGAAAGTCTAAAAATAGTTGTCAGCTATTGTTCGATATAATATGTGTTTCTAGTCCAATCTACAACGGAAGGTTCACGTACCGTTAAAATCATTAAAGAAATAGAAAATTTGTTAAAAGATTATCCTGCCGCGTTAGATTTATATAAAACAGGAAAATATAAAGTAAAAGTAAAGTGTGAAGCAGATGTTGAACGTGTTATACTAGTTGAAAAGCGTTCAGCAAAAGGTGGGGATGCAAATAAAAAATCGCAAAAAGATAAACAAAACTCAAATACAAAAGTATCAACGCTGACCAATAATGAACAAGTAACAGCAACTACGATGACTCAAACATATGATCAACAGGATAATGAATCCGAAGATACACTCAATGATAATAACAACAAACCAGATCATTCGACATCACGTCAAAGTATCGATCATTTATCAAAACATTCAAAAGGAGTGGGGCGGATAAGGCCATTTTTCGACCCTGAATATTTTTTGATGAAAACCGTCGGATTAGAGGTTATTCGACATGCTGAACAAAATGGCGTTTACCGTTTT